ATTTTCTTTAATGTTTATTTTTGAGAGAGAGAGAGAGAGAGAGAGAGAGCGAGCCTGGGTGGGGGAGGGGCAGAGAGAGGGAGACACAGAACAAGAAGCAGGCTCCAGGCTCCGAGCTGTCGGCACAGAGCCCGACGCGGGGCTCGAACCCACGAACCGTGAGATCATGACCTGGGCCGAAATCAAGAGTCGGACACTCACCCAACTGAGCCACCCAGGGACCAAAATTATATTTTTTTAAGTTTTTATTTATTTATTTTGAGAGAGAGAGAGAGAGAGATTGAGCAGAGGAGGAGCAGAGAGAGAAAGGGAGAGAAAATCCCAGGCAGGCTCCATAATATCAGCTTGGAGCCCGACTCCAGGCTCGAACTCACAAACCGTGAGATCATGTACTCGAGCCGAAACCAAGATCGGGAGGCCCAGCCGACCGAACCACCCAGGCCCTCCCCTTCCCCACTTCAAACCTCTGACTTCGCGTCTTCCGACCTCTAGACCAGGACCCCGAGGGCTCACGTGATCGCGTCAGGCGTGCCTGACTCAACGCCCCACTTTAGGGTCCACTGATCTGGGACCTTAATTACACGCGCAAAGCCCCCGCAGTGGCACTGAGGCTAGTTTGTTGTTGCAACAGCCGGAGAAGGTGTGTGTGCGCCCGCGGCCGGGAGCCGTGTGGCCACCTCCGAGTCCCCCCCGGCACCAGGCACGTACAGGGGTGGAAAGTCCTGCCTGCACTCCACGTCCAGTGTAGACGGGACACCACGCGGGACGGAAAGTCGATCCCAGATAAATCCGGTTTGTGCTTAGAGTTCTGGAGGGTCAGGGTTCCACACGTGCACACACACACACACACACACACCCCATCCTTCCCTCCCGCTTCTCAATGAATGTGAAAGTTCATTATTCAAACGCCTCCTCAAAGCAAAGTGCATCAAAGTCCCTTGCTCTAGCTCCGGCCCCAGCACCTGCCCTGGGTCACCACAGGCTCCTTTCTGTCCCTGCCCCCCACCCCAAGCCCCCACCGTAATAATCCGTCTGCCCGGCACATGCCAGAAAGAGCAAGACTTGCCTCCCACTGGGAGGGGCCCCCATCTGGGGGATTCTTTGGTGCTTTGGGGGACAGATATCTGGGGAGACGCCCTCGCTGCTCCCTTCAATGCAGACCCGCGGGAAAGTGCCATCAGGTGACCAGGCACATCCTCCCAGAGGGTCCAAGGCGTGGGGTGGGGAGGCTTCCTGGAGAAAGTGGCCCTGCCCCTCGGGGAGGAAGGGGGGCGGGGCTGCGGGCCGGATGCACCAGGCGGAGGGGACGGATGTACGATGTATGAGCCAGGCTGCCGGACCCCCAGGGGCTGGGATGGAGGGTCTGGGACGGTGACCGGTGGTGGGGCCGGAGACGGGCTGGAGGGGGAGGACGTTGTGGGCCAAAGAGGCCGATGAAGGGCCTGCGGGGGCTTCAGGCCTCGGGGTGAGAGTCCGGTCCCCTCAGGGTCTGCTGGCTGCTGTGGGGACACAGGCCCAGAGGGGGCAAGACGGAAGAACACGGGAGCCCTCGCGCCTCTTGGAGGGACCGCCAGGCTGCGTCCTGAGTTAACCTCACGAGCTGATTCGTGCTAACAGGAAGGAGGAGGCCCCAGTTCCCACAGCGCAGGAAGGAGATGCCCTCGACCAGTGGCCGACGGGAGCTGAGCGCTCCCTGTGGGCCCGGGTTGTCCTTCACTGTCCGCACCCAGAATCTGTGGAATCCCGCCGCCCCCCTCATGCGGTCCGCCCCCTCCTGACCCCCTCCCGGCCTCTCTCAGCCCATCGGCCACGTGGCCGGGAGCGGCCCCGGTGTCCCTGTCCCAGCGCTCACCGCGGGGTGCCAGCCTCAGCGCCCTGGGGCCATGTCTCCTTGGACCCCATCACCCTGACGGCGCCCCCAAAGGCCTCCCCTCTGGAGACCAAAGACAGAAACAAGCGACTAAGGGACCCAACATTTTGAAGAGAATCCTGATCTCCTCGTTCTCTGTCCACTTTTGCAAATAGCAATGAATGTATTCTTTGTAACACAGGTAACGGGACCTCTTCGCCAAGAGTCATGGTATGTGTGGATTGCGGCAAAGCCTGCCGAATAAACCCACTTGGGAGAAATCCAAATTCTGGAGCGTTTGGAAACAAAGTTTTCTACTTTCCAAATTCACAAGCTTTACTAGGAAGACATTCCATAAATCAGGTTGCCAGATTAAATACAAGGCACCAAGCTAAATGTGAATTTCAGATAAAAAACTATTTTTAGCATATGCATTCATACCTAATAAAGTATAAGTTATAGATTATAAATATTCATAAGTTACTTGTAAATTTTTATAAGTCCCATGCAATGCTTAAAATCATGAATAATTTTTATAATACAAATTTCGAATAAAATGTTAGTAAAAATGAGAATTTTAAGGGTTTTTTAAAAATGTTTATTTATTTTGAAAGAGAGAGAGAGAGCAGGGGAGAGGGGCAGAGAGAGGGAAAGAGAGTCCCGAGCAGGCTCCACACTGTCAGTGCAGAGCCTGACGAGGGGCTCGATTCCCAAAACCGTGAGATCACGACCTGAGCTGAAATCAAGAGTCAGATGCTTACCCAACCGAGCTGCCCAGGCACCCCGAGAATTTTAAGTTTTAATACAAATTCAGAAGCTGTATTATTGATAACTTTTGAATACTGTCTTGTGCAATATTTGGAACATACACTAAAAAATGATTCATTGTTTCTCTGAAATTCAAATGTAACCGGGCAGCTTGCGTTCTTTCTTATCCTGTGTTTTTATTTGCTAAGCCTGCAAAAGCAGCCTTAACAAGCCAGCGACGCTTAGGGATGGACCTGCCCTTTGTAAGGACGGGGGGACCCCACAATCCCGCCCACATTTTTCACATGCCGGGCACTGTGGGCTACACAGGGGTCAGCCCCGGGTCTCCCCAAAACCAACACCTCATGCCTTTGAACGCACTCCTCCCTGTGTGTGAGAAGCCCAGGTCCGGGCTCCCACCGCTGCGCCTGGTCCCTGAAGCACAGTCAGGGTCCTCGGTGGGGACAGACAGAATGGCCACCGCCTCCTCAGCCCCTGGGAATGGTGGCATTGACTTCTGTTTTAATGAACAAGGTCAAGGCAAGTTGGCCCCTGGCTTCGATGCCCTGACTCTGGCAGGCCCCCAGAAGCTTCCTTCCAAGGGGAGGGGGGACCCCAGGGAGCCCTTCCCCTGGGCTGACAGTGCAGAGAGGCCCCGTGAGGACAGCGGGGAGGCCACTTGAAGGTCGGGGCCGGCCCGCCCCAGGAAGGCCTTGCTTGGGTAGGTCTAGGTGACAGTTTCCTGTGGCAGGTCCCAACAGGCCACACCAGCTTTGATAAACGAGGGAAAAATGCGCCCAGTTGAGTAGAAGCGGTTCTGGTGCCTCGCGAGCCCGGCAGCTGCATGGTTATCTGTGCTAACCCCTCCCTCCAGATGCTTCTCTGCAGATAGGAAGTGTGGCCCGGCACCACGGGTACCCCTGGGGGAACCAGTCCCTTCTGTCCCCTGAGCTTACCTGGATGCCAAGCGAGGACAATGACATTCATCCAGTGGAAGGGGCGCCCAGTAGGAGCCTGGGTTGAGCAATTTAGCAATCCTGTGCTGCCCTGGGCACACAAGGCTGCTTAGAAGGGTAAGGGGAAGGAGAATATGACCGCTAATTTCATGTGTCAGGCTAGCCGGGCCAAAGTGCCCAGACATTTGGCCAAACGTTATTCTGGATGTTACTGTGATGGTGCTTTAGGATGAGATTAACATTTGAATTAATTCAAAGTCAAGCAGATTGCCCTCCATAACGGGGGTGGGCCATGTCCAATCAGTTGAAGGAGTAAATAGAGCCAAAGGCTGACTTCCCCTGAAGCAGAGGGCATGTTGCCAGCAGCTGTCCTTCGGATCTGGACTACAACATCGGGTCCTCCTCGGGTCCGCAATCTTCCGGCCCCCATGCAGCTTTGGGACCCAGCAGCCTCCGTAATTGTGTGAGCTGATTCCTTAAAACAAACCTCGTAATATTTATATACCCGCATCCTCTTGCTATGTTTCTCTGGAGAGCCTTGGCAAACACGGAGTCTCGGGAGGGCTGAGCTGCTCTTTTCCCCACAACCAGGAAGGAGGCCAAGCCCTTGACAGGTGTTGGTGACAAGCATCAGCCACACAGGTCCCCAGGCTGGTCAGAGCTCACAGAAGCCTTCTGGAAGGGTCAGATTTGAGCGAAATAACCTGAAAGACTCCCCCTGAATATGCCAGCCCCACCTCTCCGTCCTCAACATCGCCACGGCCAGGGCGTGGTGGTCGTGACGGCCGCAGCTAATAGTCACCAGGAAGCACGCCCCCAAAAGCTCTGTGGCAATCTCCTCGGCCTTTTGGGGAGTGTTTTTGTTTTGCTGTTTTAGAAGCACTGCCCCAAAAGGTGTGGTTTGGGGGCCCACTGCCTGAGCCGCCCCTTTCCCACGAAGACAAAGCTCCCATGGTGGAGTTGGCCTGGGGAGGAAGCCTCGCGGGGAGCGTGGAAATGGCAGGAGCGCAGGGTGGGGACGGGGGACCTGAACACCACCCCGGTGTGAGCCCCTCTCTCCAGTCCAGATAAGCCGGGTCCCGAGAGCTCGTGGATCTGCTGGGAAGAATCCAGAAAAGGCCAGGAGGCTCACTCCTCATTAGCACCTCATTCGCATGCTGGGGCCACAGGAAGGGATGCTGTTCTAAGCCACTGCCCAGCTGGCCCCCCAAAAGGGTCCAGAACTGACTCTGGGGGTGACCCCAGGCGGCTCCCTGTGTCCCCACAGCACCATTTCCCACCAGCATCAAGGTGACTCCCAGCAGCCGGGCGCTGAGACACCCCAGCGCGCTGGCCCCCCAGGACTGTCACCCAGCAGCCACCCGAAGGCCGGCTCCCCGGGCCGGGGACCTCTGAGCCTCCTCCCTTCCCTCTCCCCGAAGCCGGCTGTCTTCACCACCCGACGTCCCTCAGAAGGTGACCAGAGGCGCGGGGAAGTCAGTGAACTCGGCGACACTGCCCTTTCTAACCGAGAAGACAGGAGGTGACCCCCGGTGCTCGGCAGGAACGCGGTCCTGCGCGAGGAGCATCTACCCAAGGACAGGGGAGGCGGATGAAAGGGTGAACGCTTTAGTCTGGCTTCTTTGCGCTGCGTAGCGGGCCTAGCTGGCTTCCGTGACGGTGACGCACCTAGAAAAGCAACTGGGCAAATCTCAAAACAAGAGAGAAGTCAGCGTGGAGAACAGGAGCACCTGGGCTCAGTTCCTGGCGAGCCAACTCACCCACCGCCTCGTTGGCGGGACGGAAGCAAACGGTGACACGCCGGCCATTTGCTGGCACTGCTTCAGGTTCCGGCTGGCGTGGCCCTTGCTTCTGTTGAGCTTTTCTTTGCTTGGAGAGCAGGGAGAGGGGTGGAGGGAGAGGGAGAGAGAGAGAGAATCCCAGGCGGGCTCCACGCCGTCGGCACGGAGCCCAACGCGGGGCTCGATCCCACGAACGGCGAGACCATGAGCTGAGCCGAAACCAAGAGCTGGGCGCTTAACGGACTGAGCCACCCGGGTGCCCCCGTTTTTAAAAAATTTATTGAGGTGATATGCACACAAGATCCAGGGAGCCATCCCCAATCACGGCTTCCGTCCAGCTCACGCATTCCCACCCTCCAAAGCGAAACCCTCGACCCGTTCAGCCGCGCCTCCTCATCCGCCTCCCCGGGCACCTGCCCGACGCCAACCTCGTCTCGTGGATTTGCCTGTTCTGGACGCTTCGCGCACATCGAATCATGTAACACGTGACCTCCCGTGTCTGTCGTCCGTCCTCAGGACTCCGTCCCTTTCACGGCTGATAATACTCCAGCGTCCGGACGGAGCACATTTGTTCGTCCGTCCGCCCGCTGAGGCACATGGGGCTGTCTCCCCTCCGGGCCGTCGGGAACAGCACCCAGAGCATGTGCACCTGTATTTCTTTGAGTCTTTGTTTGCAATTCTTTTGAGCCATGTGCCTGCGATAGTGCTTCACGGTTCATGAAACTTTAGACCAGCTCAGTGTCCCGGCATCGCGACTGGACCAAGGGCACCAGGTCAGGAATGGCAGGGGCAGGCCACGGCCTTGACCGAGCGCTGTGCTCTCTCCCTGCGGTGGCCAGCGGAAGGATAAAGGTCCCCATGCCTTCTGCCGCCCCCCAAGCGAGGTTTGCCCCCACGTCCAGGCAGCTGGAGGAGGCCGGGGTAGGGTCTGATCCACGGTCCCAGGCAAAGGCCTCTGCTTCCTGGGGAGGCTAATCCGAAGTCTGGGTGGAGAAAAAGTCCCGCCCAGTTACTCAGCATCGAGTAAACATCGGTTATTCCCACTCGGGGCTAAAGGGACGGGGAGGAAATGTCCCTGGTCATGCTGCCTTCCCGAGAAGCCACCATGAGCGCAGAGGTTTAGCTGCGTGGAGAAGAGAAAGTCGGCGTGGATGCATCACAAAGTCAGGCGACCGGTTCTAAATCAATGCGGTGGGCCTCGGGGTCCACTGAGGTGCACGTCAGCCGGCCATCACTGATCCGCATCCCCCCTCCTCCCGCCCGACAGCGGGGAAGCTCCCAGCACCTGCCCCGTCACACGCACGGGGAGATGCACAAGACAGCTTGTGTTAATGGCAAAAGTCAAGGCAGTGGCCCTGAAAAGTGACAACACATCCCCCTGACTCTGGTACTTTGGGGAACCGCCCCCCCCAGAGAGAAGGCCACAGCTTCTGGGCCCACGGCCGGCCCACCCCGAGCCAGCTCTCCCACGCAGGTGGCCACGGTCCAATCTCACCGCCCTTTCTTCCAGTGCTCGCCCATCACATGCTCACACCGCCATTGGTTCGCTTTTCCTGTTTGACGTTTTAGGTATTAATTTCCGAAGGCGCAAGACGGCGTTCGTAACAACCTCGCCCACGCCCACTGCCACCCCGTGAGTCCTATCGCCGAGAATGAAATCGAACTTCACTGCGTGTACATCGCTAGGATGGTCAGTTATGAGGCGACGCGCCCGTGGCTTGTGTGGACTGGAATGGGAAATTTCTACCACACAGCTAGGAAGGTTGTACGAAATGGGAGGTTCCTTTTAAATGATTAGCTAAACATAGCAGGAAGGAAAGGACCAAAATCTCCAGAGGCTAACAGAGACATAAAGACCAGCGCCGTCCCATACGAGGGGGCTTGGGCCGAACGTCTCAGGGGCAGGAGGTAAGGCCTGGAGCTATGGCTGCACCTGACCCCCTTGAAGGGCCCTGAGGAAACACACCCATCTAAGGCATATCTGTCCCAGCCTGTGCCCCAGATGGAAAGCAATTCCCCTTGAGAATTTTGTCTTGTTGGGTCTGTCCCTTTCCCAGCCCTAAAATCCACATAAGAGTGATCACAGGACGACCTCGAGCCTTACAAACACGAATCTCTTACAAACACGAACCTCTTACAAACACGTCCTCGGCCCAGGCACATACGATTCCCACAGGCACGGCCCTGCTGAACATAAGTTCACAATCCAAAATTATGACACACGAGGAGACGATCGACCGGCAGGCCTGATAAACAGAGAGACGAGATTCCTGAGACTCTCAGGCAATAAGATGATCAGATAACGGCTTTAAGTAAACACATTTCAAATGATGACAGGTGGAAAGCTAAGACCTGAACACGGGACACGTGCTGAACAACGCAAGGCAGATTTGGAAGGAAGGAAGTCGAGCTCTTGGAAATGAAACACAGTGAGTGAAAGCAAAATGCCCATGGACGGCTCACTACAGAACGGACTTATCTCGAAGTCAGCTCCACCCTGCAGCTAGAAGGTTCGGCTCCCGCGCGGTAGTGGGCGGTGCAGAGAACAGCGCAGGGGGAAGGGAGCCCGGCACGTGGGCGGGACGCTGAGGCTTAAAGGAGGAAGTTAGGGCACTTGTCTCAGAATGTTGCCGGCATTGTTTGCCTTCTGGCTTCTGCTTTGTTGTCTAGAAGCCTGATGCTGTGGGTTTAAGTCCCGCCCGGGGAGCTGCGGAAGGGCCTCTGAGCGCCCTCCTGCTGTTCCAGGGTGTGGCGCCAGTGCTGTGCGTGCTATCCGGCCAGGGATGCTCTGCGCACCTGCTGCCACCTCCACGTGACCGCCCTGTCCTGTAGCCTGGGGGTGTTTCCTTCACTCCGTCCCCGGCCCTCCTGTCACGGGGATGTTGGAATGATTCTGCCTTTCCCTTCCTGAAGAGTCTTCTCTCATCACATTTACAAATTTTTCAACTTCTGCCCTCTAAGTGTGTGTGCATGCACGCATACATTCCCGTCCTGCTTTCCATCTACTTAAAATGTCCTGTTTTGGGGGCACCTGGGTGGCTCAGTCGGTTAAGCGTCCGACTTGGGCTCAGGTCATGATCTCGCGGTCCATGAGTTCGAGCCCTGTGTCGGGCTCTGTGCTGACAGCTCGGAGCC